CTGCACCAGGGGGAATGCAGAGCAAATTGTTTGGGCATGGCTGCGTTTGGGAGAAAGGCTGAAGATTAAGACTTGATACAAATTTAATTATACGAATTTTGCCATGGGAAAAGACTCAAACAATATTTTGCTTACTCTAAGACATTTCTGGATTAATATTATAAGAAGTTTGTTAAGATGAGGTTACTTTTCCATACTTTTCTAAATTCTGCCATTAGGATACCAACATTTTCAACAATGAATGCATGCAGAGATGATGGCTTTCCAGTAAGAAAGGACAGAATGACCATTCAGTCACACCAGTGCTACCATTCAGTTTACGACAAGTTCATCAACCAGCGGAAAAACCCCTAAACCCTCTCTGCCTTTTTGCTCTCTCAGGTACTGGGAACACYGTCATCGAGGCTGTCAAAGTGCTCGTGGAACACGGGGTCCAGCCCAGCGTCATCATCCTGCTCAGCCTCTTCTCCACACCTCATGGTGAGTGTGTGTGACAGGCACAGGAGGGAGCTGTGAGGAGAGTGACATCAGTCACACATGGGACACRGGGCAGAGCTGTGCCTCTGCCACAGTAGCATCACTTTGCTCAGATCAGGTTTGGGGTTTTTTGGCTGAATTGTAAAACTGAGTGAAGAGCGCTGTGTTTGGTGTGGGTAGTGAGGAGGGGCCTGAATGGCAAAACTGCAAAGGGGTGAGTATTCCTAAAAGCAGGAGTTTGCAGCGCTGCCAGGTCCGTGGCTCACAGAGCAATGCCAGGCCCGCTGCTCTTCTGGAGCAGGGAATGTGGGGGCTGGTCCTGGATCAGAACAACACCAGGAGTGGGAGCTGAATGGAGCTACAGAACTGGCCTGTTTGCAGGTTAAAGAGGATCTAAACAAGAAACATCTGCTGCTCTGGAGTAGGAGACCAGATCTTGTGKTTTTTAAAAATTGGCCTTGGCAGAAATCGCTATCAAAAAACTCAGCTGAACTGCAGAGCAGCCTGTAACCACTTGAATTGGGAGTATATGTGTATGGAAAAGGAAAATCCAAAGAAGAAAACCCCAAAAAGCAATCCCCTGAAATCAGGAACTTTTCCTCATAGACAGTTAGCTAAGGCAGGAATAGGAAGTGGGGACAGAAGCACTAAGCCTGACTTACCTTTGGAATGCTGCTGATCACAATTTAACATGGGCTGGAGCGCTGTAGTCATTATTGCCTTTGCTGTTTCTTCAAAGGTGCCAAATCCATCATCCAGGAATTCCCAGAAATCACCATTTTAACTACAGAAGTGCATCCTGTTGCACCAACACACTTTGGACAGAAGTATTTTGGGACAGACTGACACCCTTGGAACAACTGGACATGACTATATGACATTACAAAAGGTTTTTTTCTACATTTTATTACTGTTGAGCTGATCGAGGGCATATTTAAAAGTTTTTGGCCAACTAACTTAGGTTAGTTGTGGCCTGAACAGGGATCAGGTACAGTGACAAAGCACTCTGGTTACACGGTCAAGCATCTCCATGTTGGGGTTCTATAAACTGCCACACTGCTTTAACTTATTTATTCTTCTCCAGCCTGTCCGTGGCYGCCTGCAAGAGCAAAATAAACCCAACTAAACCCCAGTGGAGCGTCCTTCATTTCTAGGGTCACTTGACATCACTCCAGCATACAGCCACTCCCAGTGCTTCCAGGATTTTGATGTCCTCCTGAGCAGCCACAGGGCATTTTTGGTCTTTGACTGGTGGCCAAGAACCAAAGCTACAACTCTTGGAATTTTGCTCTGCAAACATTATTTTCAAATAGTGAAACACCCCTGRTTGTGTTCCTCAGTGGTCCTGAATTAAGAAAATTCCTGCACATGTGCAAACTGGGTGGGAATTGGGGGTGGGAGCACAACTGCCTGTGGAAATTATACACATACAAAACCTGGGAGTTYTAAGAGAAAACTTGGGGCTGGATCACTCTCACCAACTCTTTTTAATGAGAGGAAAACTGTGGCAAAAAGTTGGAACTCAATTTCTAGTGCTGTTCACAGAACACCAGGGCTAAAGACAAATGTGGCCCTCAGGGCTCAGCAGCCTTTCCAAACCCTCAAGGCACTCATTGTATGGGTCACATTAAACATCAATCAATCTGCAGCTAAATCCCTTCTTTCTTTGCCTGTAAATCCCTGGCACCAAGTATACAATATCCATCTGGCCAGTACSTTCCCTTACTTTGGGGAGGTAACTTCAGGAAAATGTATTAACCATATTAACCATTATTAACCACAATATTAACCATTATTATTTAAAAATAGACCCATGTTCTACAATTGCAGGATTAGGAAACGTTGTTTCAAGTCCCTTCTTACGTCTCATCAGGTGAGTGGAGTGCTGAGGTCTGGGCTGCCCCCACCAATGCCAGCATTTAGTGAGTCTTTTTTGTCACAGATTAAGAACCTTCCCTGTTCCAAGCAGTAATTCCATTTAATTAAAKTTGTGTAACACTTCCAGAGAGGGAACGTTGAGCCTGAGCATAGGAAATAACCATTCACAAGTCTAATAAATTAGCCAAAAATGGTTTTAATGCAGTTCTTGCCTGCAGTACAGTATAAACCATAATAAAAAACAACAAAGCAGAACATACAGGATATTCAGCTGTAGAAACTGTACAAACACTTGGAAAATGCCAATGAAACTCCACAGAGCATCAGCATAGTCAGAACATTGACAGTAAAAACGAGTAYCCAAAGCTTTTGTAAAAACCCATTTGATATCAAAAGTCTCAATGCCAGCAGCAGCAGCATTAAACTCCTGAACACAACACCCCAAAGGTGGGCAGCAGTCCCTGCCTGACATTCCTTGGAAAATAATTACTTCCTATTGAGTTAGGGGGAAGGGATGCGTGTTAACCACCCAGCTGAGTGGCTGCACAGGGCACTGCTGGCTGCAACAACTGCCAGCCCAGGCCATGCTGGGTTCCTAAAAAGCAGCTGGATGCCCTCTGACCCACAGCAGCTCCTGCAGGGGGTGTTCTGCTCCAGCCCCRTCTTCCTGAAGGAAAAGCTCCAGCACATGAAAGCCCCTGGCTTCTCTGGGAGGAAGTTAAACCCTCCTGCTAACACTGACAATGCCACGGCTCTGCCATCCTCTGATCCTGAGGATTAGTTCTGTTCTCTCTTTGAGGGACCCATTTGCACCACAAAGAGCATTTTCAGATGAGGACCAGCTATCTGAGCAGGGAGATTATAAAATAACAAGACCTTTTCAAGTTCCTATGTTCCTACCCCTAAGTTCCCCACTCCGGCAGTGGATTTGGAATCATGCTGGAGTAGCTCCTGTTCAGTCAGGCAGTGAGTACAGCAGGAAGCTACTCCATAGTGTAATTAATTCCAAAGAAGGATGGAGTTAAATCCAAACAGTGGAACAACAGGTCCCATCTCCTCACAGCAGCTCTTAGWCACAAACTTGTCCCTCCTTCCTCCCAGGGAAAGCCACATGCACCAGCCCAACAGTTCATTACATCAGCAGCATTCCAGAGACCCAGGGAGCTCTCCTGGACACATCCTGGAGGCTCCTGGATCCTCCAGAAAAAGGCAGAGGGGAAAATAATACACTGACACTTTCAAGAGTCCATTGGGTTTTTGATTCCCTCAGAAAGGAAAGTGCTGATCCAAGAAGGGGCAGCACATATCTTCCCCAGGTTAGAAAGKAGAGGGGGTGGCCAATTTTGTGGGGTTCCAGGCTTTCCATGGRAGTGAGTCCAAGGTTTAACTCAAGGAAGTGCTTCAGGAAGCACTGGAACAGCAGGGGAAGCCTTCAGGTCAGATACCTGTGTGCTCCATGGGCTGTGTGACACCAGCACTGSGTGCAAGCAGGCATTTCTTTCCAAGCACAGCTGGAATAAGAAACAAAGATGAGACCTTTGTCCTTTTTATTGGATCTTTTTGGGGTTGTGGTTTTTTCCCCCCTCCTTAAYATAACCTTTTTTTAAGCAGTGGCTGTTACCCACTAGTTTTACAAATGCTGCTGTAAATCTTAAAATCTCAAAAATAATAGCATGCAGGCATGAGCAACTTACAGGCTTGTATTTGAAATGTAAACTTACATTTTATTTCACAAGGTTTACATCCCAAACGGAAGGTGGAGAATAAAGAAAGGTTTTTATGAAAGAGAAAATGCAGGAAGTAGGATCCTGCTCTAAGCAAAGCTAATTGGGCCTGATGATGTGAACCACAAACCAAGAGCTGACAAACAGCGAGGTTAATTACAAATAAAATACATGGCACAACAGCATAAAATGACATCTACTCACCTTCACAGTATCCAAAAAACCAGCACAAGCAGCTCAAAGCTGAAAATATTTAAATGTATGTTCAGGAGGAAGAGGGAAGACTAACAATGAGATGGAAAAAGGATAAGAGACTGAAATCCTGCAGCAATGGGTGTGAGCTCAGTGTTTGTGACCAGGGCAGGGAACGCAGCACTAGGCAGGAGGGGCTGACAGAGCAGGCTGGGAATGAAAACAGCCCCTCTGCCATGAAATGCCTTCACTGATCTGTTCAGAACCAGTTTAGATTTGCAAGTGTTCTGTAACAAAGCAGAAGCTGATAGAATTGGAAAAATATCAATAAAATTGAGGTATTTTCAAGTACTATGGATCCATTTCAAAAATCTGTAACACGAGTCACCAAAATGAATATGTGATGACCCTTTTGAGTTAATTAATTCTGGCTTAAAAAACAAGGTCAGCTGTGCCTCCTTCACCTGCTAACTAAACCCTTCCACCAGTGCACCAGCTCTGCACAGAGTAACTGCTCAGCAGAGTAAATGCACAGAGCAACTGCACAGAGTAACTGCTCAGCAGAGAAACTCTGCAGAGGAACTGCACAGAGTAACTGCTCAGCAGAGAAACTCTGCAGAGGAACTGCACAGAGTAACTGCTCAGCAGAGAAACTGTGCAGAGTAGCTGCTCAGCACAGTAACTGTACAGAGCAACTGCTCAGCACAGAGCAACTGCTCAGCACAGAGTTAACTGCTCAGCAGAGAAACTCTGCACAGAGTAACTGCACAGAGTAAGTGCCCAGCACAGAGTAACTGCTCAACACAGAGTAACTGCTCGGCAGAGAAACTCTGCATAGAGTAACTGCCCAGCAGAGTAACTGCCCAGCAGAGTAACTGCCCAGCACAGAGTAGCTGCTCAGCACATAGTCACTGCTCTGCAGGAGGCAGGTGCCTTGAAAACAGCTCACCACATCATTCTTCATCACTAAAGTCAGGGAAAAACCAGTAATTTTTTTATTTTTTCCCATTGACATTTTACATTCACATTACAGACTTTATGCATCAAGTTGTGCTTTCAGTCCAGACCAGCATATAGAACTACAGAGCAGGAGCTGGTGTGGATTTTGCTGAGTCCCATTCCTGTGTCMCAGGAAGCAAACATTCATTGCATAGTGCGATTCGGAATCTTCCTGATTCTCACCAGTGACTGCACCCCACACACACTGGGTACAGCCCTCTCAAACATACAGTACTGTTCCCTGCTTAAAGGAAAACAAGATTATACTACTAAAACTGTTACAACTCACTAAGAGAAACCTGGCAGTGCAAGGAGGATTAACAAGTCCTGGTTCCTTGGGCAGGACTTGCTGGCCCAGGACTGGACTTAGGACAGTTCTRCCCAGAGGAACATCAATATGATGTTCTGTCAGGTTTTTGTACCTGAATGTAGATGAGAGAGAAGGAGGAAAGGTGAGGAGGTGGTTGGTTGTTACTTTGGAGCATGAATCCAGGAGCAGAGGGATAACACTGCAGCCATCACACAGTGAAGTCCAGCAAAGGCATTCCCTCCTTTCCCACGGTAACATCACTTGGRAAAGTTGCTCACAGCTGAGGAAGCTCAGCCTTGTGAAGGATATGAGATGCATTTGTGAAATGCTGGAATATGAGCAAGAGGAGCAAGGAAGGAGCTGCCCCCGACCTCAGCCCTCTGTGCCCTGATTGAAGCTCACAAGCCCACAGCCTGGTGTGTCTGACACACTGGTTGGCACTCGAGCCACAGTTACTGCCTGGTCACTGCTGGCAGAGCTGCACAGGCCTGGTGGTCCTGTCTCACTGACATCACTGACAGGGGCTGGCCCGTGGCTGGCTGTTGGAGATTTCCCTCCAGCACTCGGCYCCCTCACCCTGGCTACACTGAACCAACCAATAAAATCTTCTCCAGCTACAGGGGCTTCTACACAGGCAGAGACCCACTGAGGACAGCAGCTSTTGTGACCCTGTGATGAAAAAATCTAATTTCCTACTTTATTCTGTAGTGTAGATCCARTGAGGCAGAGAAAACAGCCCCTGGATGGGGCTGAGACAATTCCCTTGCTGCTCCCACACTGCTCCAGGCTGGAGTTCAACACCTTCAGCAGCCCTACAGTTACACAACTGCCATCAGCATCAGCACTGAGACTCAAACGTTAGCAATTCACCAAGTGCTTTAAGTGTAACTGTGTGTACAGCCYGCACCCAGAGCCTGACAGCAAACACCACATGGTGACAGTGCCACAGGGAACACTTGGACTGCTCTTGCACAGAGGGCTCAGAGCATAACCTGGGATGTTGTGACACCAGCACAAGGCAGCGTGAGACACACACGGGATGAACTGGAATCATTGTCCAGCTCCCAGAGCTGCAGTGTCATTGGTGGTGGTGGGGTGAATCCCAGTSCTGGAATGCTGGGATGGAGGGTGCAGGAAAGGGAGAGGTTTGATGATACAGCCCTTACAKTCAGAGATGATGGAGAGCCTCTGGATGAGGATCAGGGCATGGAAAACAAAGGAGGTGTTGCAGTGGATTRTACCCCCAAAAGAGCCATTTGCAGTTTAAAAATACTAACACACCCGGGACTGAATATTCTGTTTTGTCACCTGCAGCAGTGACCACAGCAGCCTGAGGAAATTCTGTTTTCCAGTGCATTTACTCAGCATAACCAGGGCACAGGCCAAGGGTAACCTAAGGATATCACCTTATGTGAGCAGAAGGGAACAAAACAGAGCTGCTCACTCAGACAAGTGGGTTTTTCCCATTTTGTTCTGCCTCATTTTACACTTTTGGGTTTCACATTTCATGAAGCTTTCCAGCATCTGATGGGTGGATATTGATGGGAAGTAGTTCTGAAGTGATAAACTTTGTATGTTTCTACCTGGACAAGAGTTTGTAACAACCACAGGAGGCTGAGCTGCTTTGAAGGAAAGGGAAGAGTTGGCCATAACTAATTACAAGAAAAGTGACTGAATAAAGTTACCTGGAAACATTTAAAACTGTTTCTCAGTCTGAGCTGGRCACCTGGGTTATCATAAAGACATCTGGCTTAATATTAGAAGACAACACCTGATTTTCTGTGCTCCTCATGAGCAATGCAGCAGCAAGAGCAAGCATGGGTGCTCCTGCAGAGCTGCTGCTGCTGCCTGGCAGAGAAAGAGCTCAGAGAATGACAGGGCTGTAACCAGAACCAAACCCAGAAGGGACACAAGAACCTGCTCAGAAAACTCCTGCAAATCCACACAGCTCTGGAAAAATACACTTCAGTTGACAGAATCAAAGTCACCAAATCATCTTCCTGGTTTTATATACAAGGAATTTAAAGTTTTTAAAGGCACAAATAGCACTCTGTATGTGCTAAATTCCTGTTGAATTCCTGTTTAGCTGCCATCATCCTCTCAAGCTCCCCCTCTGGAGCACATTTTGCTAGGAATGAGGTGATGAATTCAGCTGCCACCTTTCATCACACACAGCACAAGGCCCAACACCAGATTTACATTAGAAATGCAGCTTGAGATTGACAGGAAAAACATTTCCAGCACTCAGCAGCCGTTTGGTGACAGAGCCACTCAACAGATGGGGCTCAGGTGGCTGAAGCAGGAACATTGAGTGTTCAGGACCACCCTGAGGAGACACAAACCCACCCAAGCCCGGGCCAGCCCACCTTGGCCCCTCACAACCAAATTCAGCAGTGACATTGTGGAGAGATCATCACTGCCTGCTCCACACAAACTGCAGAGGCTGAGGGATAAAATTCCTGTCCCCAGGGCACAGATCAACCAGRAGTTAAACACCTACTGTTACGGAAGGAACCTCTGCAAGGCTCTCCCGTCTCACAGGCACATTTCCTGTGGCAGCAGCAGCAGGGGAAACTGAGGAAAAACGGGGYCAGTTTGTAGGCAAAGCCTTCATTACCAAACTCACTCGGCAGGTCCTTTTTCTTGACATGCACAGCTGCTCCTGTAGTCACTGTCAACACCAGTGGGCTGATAAATAAACATAAAAATGGAATAGAAAATGGTACTAAATGATCTTAGAGGCAGTACAGCAATACTTTCAGCATGCACCTAATTCAAACAAGAGTGATGGACTGGGCTGAATCATGCAGATAAAAATAAAGGACTCAGATCTAGAAAAATGTCCATAATCCAGCCAGCCAAGTCTCAGTTCCATTCCCCAGAACAAAAACAGGGAATAGATCTCTTTGTAAATGCAGCAAAATGCAGAAAAAAAATCTGATCACCTCTTAGTGCAGAAACCCCTGAAACCAGTCAGTGCACTGAGTTGGCAAGAATTATGAAAAAATTCCATATGTCAATTGTGCCTTCAGCATTTTGGGATTCAACCAAGCCTTGTGGAGTGCAAACTCCAAACACGACTGTTGGAGCTACACTTTCAGTGCACATTTCAAATTCACATCTTCCTTTCTGACTCCATGAACACACAAATCTCCATCAAACACTGATCCAGGAATGAGTGGCTATTTTAGCCCTAGGAATTAATGCAAACTGGACAGTCTGAAGTTCCCTTTTGCATTTTAGGTGCCTACAAGTAGGATTAGGCAAAAAGACTATAACCCAAATTCTAAGACAATAACACCATCATAAAAGAAGTTTTAAAAATATCTATGGCCACAATATTCTTGAATCTTGATACTGGCAATGTGAATATTTTATTTTTATTCACAGCTGCACATGTACATGTGCATGTTCAGCACTTTTCCTTTCAACACTTACATTCAGCTACCAATTTAGTGCCAGATTTAACTGGGTTTGTCTCGCATTGAGCTGAACTGACTCAGAATTTAAACAYGTTAGAAAATGCCACTTGTCAGAGAAGGTTGGAGAATCAGTCTCAAAATAAATAACCATCCCCAAGAATATTATGGCTTGGAAGAATTTCAAGAGCTTGAGTCCCTGATGTTTGCAAAATGAAAAGGCCTTTGGAAATGCACTCGCATCAACATTTTAACCTATTTTGAATAAAAAATATATAGTATTTATAAAATAAAGAGAGCAGGCCAAAGAAGATTGGCCAGAATCACTCTGTAAAATAGTTCTGTTAACTCTGTAACTTAAACTCATAAAGCCTTGGGACATCTGGACAGCAGGATTTCTGGAGAAGCATTCTAGAATGCAGGTTCCCAGCAGACGATACTTCAGGATGTTTTCTCATCTTGAAGATCCACTTSTTTTCTGCCCCTCAAAACTGAAGTCCTTGCCAAGAGAAGGGATGTTGGCTCCTGAGAGGGAAGCTGAAATTAAAAGAAATAAAAAAGTGCAACTGTAGCAGTGCTGTGATTGTGATGGAGGGCTGGTCTGGGGCTGGTCTGGGTTTGGGATTTGTTTTAAAGCCATGAAGAATGAGAGGGAAAATGCTGGGTTTCCCTGCCCTGGTACAAGATGGGATGCAGCCCTCACTGACAGAAAAACACTCCAGGGTTTYTCTTAGTGGAACAAAGTGGGCTCACACCCACAAGGTGCCAGAAGCTATTGCAAGAAACTGGAGGGGCTGTTTGCCAGGGGAGCCAGGCACGGACTCCAGTGCTCTGCCACACCTCAGCTGTCACCTGCCATGGAACAGAGAGGGGCAAATTCCACCTGACAATGGCACCTCCTGCAAGGRGACAGCAGAGGATGCTGCTGGAATCACGGTCACTCACACTCCCCTGGGACACCAGGACCCTGTGTCCTCTGCACTGCCTGCAGCTCCTGGGGCAGGACGTGTGGGGCATCTCCCCAGCTCTCCCAGTCAAACAGGTGGCAGAGCAGGGAATGTTCTGGAAGCATCACCTGCCCCAGCCTGTGTCATCTGTTGTGACCCACCTTTTCCAGGGTGAGAAAAAGCCTGGGTAAGAGACTGACAGCTGATGTGACATTCCAGGTCGCTTCCTTGTATTCCCAGCTGCAACCTGGCTGCTCTCAGCTCAGTGTAAGCCTGCACCTGCACCATCCCACCCTTCCCATGGATCCCTGCATGGAATTCCCATCTTGTCACAGCATGAATCAGTGCAAGAGTCATTACCTGCCATGATTTCCAGAGGAGCTGCAGGGTTTTTGTCCTCCCCTCCACACTGTGCTGGTGGCTCTGGTGCTGCCTGTGCCAGCAAACAGCCCCGAGCTGAGAACCTCTGCTTCCCTTTAGGGTCCCTTGAACAAGGGATTTCTGGGCAAGCTGGACAAATGTGGTTCTGCTAAAGCCAAAAGCTGCCCAGCATCACCTCCCCACTCCCTGCAGAGCAGTGGTTTTGAGGGAAGTAAAGAAACAAACACTCACCTTTGTGATCAAGCTTTACACCATTGGGTTTTCACACTGCTATGTCTCCCTTTCTATGGCAAGGGATGAGCCTTCCCCAGAACCTGTCMAATGAAAAGCAAAGCACTTAGAGGTAAAATCTGCTTTTCTCACTGAGAATCTGTTTTTCACTAAGCATGGAATTGTGTTTTTAAGGATCATTACAAACAAAAATAGACAACCACTTGTCAGAGCGAACTGAACAGCTGTTTTTAAATTGAGATTACTCTATTATTTATGGCTTTTTTTATCTCATAACCAAGTCACAAGCTTTAAAGCCACAAAGACAAATAAAGGTCTTGCAGTTTTAGTGGAACATTTCAGATCTTTCTGGTTAGACATTTTTAATGCTTTATTTCTGTTGTGTAAGAGAGAATCTGAATATTGTAGTTCAAAAGACCCACAATGATCATCCAGTTCAACTGCCTGGAAATCAGTATCAGTTATTTTATGAGCACTATAAACTGAGAGACTTCATATAAGCTCCAAAGCATAACCTGGGGTCTGATTTAGCAAAAATCACCTCACTGTCAATGTTTTMATATGGAAGAATTAATTATTTATTAAGAGAATTTAAAATTTGTAAAAATTGAAAGAAGCTCTGACTCATTCCTAGGGGAATTATTTTAAGCATCATTAAAAATTCACAGGAACGCCACAGTTTTCTATTTAAAGCCAATTTTGTTTTTTTTAAAAAAACTCATTTGTGTTACCTTATGACTACGTAAATGTATACAACAAAACAGGAAGAGCAGGTAAATTAACTCTTGTAATAAAGCTGAACAAAATACAAAGCAGCTTCCTAAATGCACCTCTGCACTCAGGTGTTTGCACAGCTGTTTCACACATTCTCAGAGGAAAAACACACTTCAAAAAAAATCTAAATATTCTCCTTTTTGCAGGYACCACTTTATGTCCCAAGTAACTGTGCTGCAGGCAGCAACATTTGCAGGTAAATACTCTCACAATTTGACGCAATTTCAGTTTCTCTAGCCTTTGAAACACCTTCTCAATTCATTCACTTGCAAGTAGAAATTTGCTAAGAATCAATTGCACAGTAGAGCTTATTTTTAGTCTGTGCTCATTACTCAAGTTAGAGCTGCCCAGGGACTTAATCAACACAGTTTTTTATTTGATTAGCTCCTTTAATTCATCTACTGGCCACTGTAGGTCAGGACAACTCATTTCCTTACTCTGAGGCTCTTCATCTATTCCATCCTCTTCCCACTGCTCCTCATTTGTCAGGAGAGGGTTCCGAGCTTCATTCAAGGATCTCATTGGGAAAAAATGTCCATCCCCTTGGCTGCATGGAAAAAGGCAGAGAGAAACACTGGAAAAACAGCAAGTGACTTGAAAGGATGACAATTTCTGCACATTTTTGCTGCAAATGAAGTTTGCTGTTGTCTGTGTTTCCCACGTTTACTTAAAATCATCTTTATACTTTGTAAAGTGCCGTGCTTACTTTTCATTTTGGTTCTCAGTTCCTTGAAGCTCTCTCTGGAGAACAAAAGTTGAAACTTGTGGCCGGAAATTAAGTAATTTTTAGTAGAAGGTAAATGTGCTAATTTGATCAAGTTGGTTGAATACAGAAAAAAAAAAACCCTGTAAAAATTAACTTGTGGACAGCTAGAAGTGAGGGGGGAACTAAAGAAAACATTTATGAAAGAGGAGCAATTTTTTAATCCCACAGATTCTTCAGGGTGGAAATCACACTTCTGTGTCTGAATGACACAGTCATTCACATGTCCCCACTGAATGACACAGTCATTCACATGTCCTCACTCTTACTGAAAGAAAGAAAAAAAAAAACAAACCACTTTCCTGTGACCTAAAGCTGTACACAAAATGGGAAAAACTGTAATTATGTCAGCTTTTAGCACTGCCTTAATTATTGCTTACCTAGAGGCAATAGGCAGCAACCAGAGCTTTTTTTCTTCCCCAAACACTTGCTGGAGATTCTTCACAAAGCCAAGATTGAATCCATTTTTGTCTGGGCCATTTTGAAACACCGGAGCTGAGAAAGCCTCTGCACATAGATGCAATTTCAGTGGGAAAAAAAAGGAAAATCAATGCCAAACACTCCGAAACAGGATTGTGCATCTTGTAGCCACCCCAACACAACGTGATTTAGCAGATTCTATAAATACAGATTTCAAAATAATATTTTTTCCTATTTTACAAAGCCTGTAAAGACTTTTCAACTGAAGGCAGGAATTTGGTCGTGCAACTGAACCTACAGAACAGTCAAACCAACCCACAAAGAATTGTTTCATCCTGAGAATAGAGTCAAAAGATCTGAGACTTGATGAAATTCAGAGAGTAAAAACTTCTAGGTAAAAAAGTCAGACTGAAAGTAGGTTGGTCATCTATGCATATTCTAGAAGAGGCACAGGAGATTTAAATTACCTCATTCATCAGTGTTATCATGAACAAGCATTAGGGACAAGCAAATGCAAATAAACTGTGGGTTATGGTGAGCCATAAATTAAGAAAAGAGAGGAGGAGAATCCTGAGTGACTTTGGAACAATTTAATCTCCYTTCTCAGCTGCTGCACAGGCCTGATGTTTTGGGATAGATGAGCTTCAGTGCTCCATGAAATGACTTTTGAGGTAAATAACTTGATAAAATCAGAATATTTTCTCAGTCTGTTTTGTTAYAAAACTTTATCCAAAAAGCTTTGAAAGTTGAACGTTTATCAGAGGAAAGAAAAAGAAACTACTTGGCAAAATTATACTTCTTTAGATGATAATTTCTTTGGTTTTATAGCCAGAACTTCCTTGCCTTTATCACTAAAGATGGACACTGATTCCAAAGCTAACTAAGCTGGTCTGAGATTCACYCCAGCACAGGAGTTTAACAAAGCATTATTCCTGAAAAGCTGCACTCATTTCATAGCAAATGTAGTTTTACATATGCATAACATTTTTATAATTGRACTTCTACGCTTTAAGGCTCTGGTCTCCCAAACAAAGCTTTTGTCACRCCAGCTAACAAATGCAGATCATTTGAAGTGACAAATTTCTGCAACTTGTACTAAAATCCTAAATCTTCATCCCCTCATAAAGCAGCAGGAATGTACAGAAATAGAACAAATAGATTTTTTTTTTTGTTTTTCCTTCTCACAGCACCTTTGGTGTGTCTCACTAGAAGGAGACACCCAGAAGARCCTTACCTAGAGTGGATCTGTTTCTGCTGACGAGCCAGCAGTGGTAACCAAACAGAAACATGAGGCTTACAAAGAACATGATTGACACAAAGAGAAGGAAAAGGATGTGAAATTTGGAGCGTCCRTTGGTCAGCTCACCCTGGAAAGAAAACAGAACAAGTGATAGGAACAAATTAAAGATTGAAATTCTTTGTACTTAAGAGAAAAGAAAGATAATTTCTAAAACTCCTATTGGGAGTTCTTAAACTTGTATAGACAAAAGTCAGCCTTACTTTAAAAAGCAAGAAGAGACAAAGAAATGAATGTGGTTCATTTCCCCTCCTGTACCATAGCAMAAAGAGTGGGGGGGTGTCACTAACTCTTTGTATTGCTCAGATCCAGCTCCACCACAGCTCCCCAGGTGGGCTCCATGGGAAAGCAGCAGGCAGGAGCTCCTGAAGCCCTGTTTAAGCTCTGCTGAGTTTCTTGTGCAYATATTAAAATTCTGCACCTTGCTCAAGCTAAATCCAGAGAACATGAACCCTGCTGCTATTGGGGAGTGTCAGAACTGAGCACAGAGGGGTTGGGAAAGTTTAACAKCCAAGTGGGGCTTTCCAAGCAGAAGAAAGACTCCTTTCCTTCGACAGCAGAAGAGCCAAGAGCCAGAGGTGGCCAGCAGCGCACACAGGCAGATGCTGGGGACCTCCAGGGCTCAGAGCTGTGCCTTGCTGAGTTCAGGGAACAATTATGCATGKCAAAGTTAAGTTACTTCAACAAAAACATAGAGTTGTGCAGCARAGGGGACAGGAATTAGGGGCTATAGACCAGTCTCTTACTGGAGCTGTCAGCTGGCCCTGCTTGCGTACAAACAATCATCAGTAACTGA